ACACATACTAATTCACTAATGCCCAGTGTGGGTGCACATGTGTGAGTGGGTGTAGAAAGTCAGTGAAAAGGAATGTTGATTCATTTCTATTTTGCTCCGTGGTATTAAATCTGTCAGAGGCAAACTGAAAAACGTTGTAGAATTATGTCTCGGCTCTCAGCAGCACTCCCTTTCATGCCTGTCCAATCGCTGTCAGGGAACAAGACTTGTTGCCACTCTGTCTTTTGTGCTTTTCATTAAAGTGGCTGTGTAATGAGCTTTAGTGTCATCAGTGGCCTGGAGAAATGAACAGACATAACTGACACTAGCACTTGTTTGTAAGAGTCAGCGAGATAAAATCATACATGGGTAAGAAATGTAGGCCAAAAAAACAAACAAAAAAACAAAACAATTTAGGGAGCAGCAACGAATAAGAAACATAAACCCAGAGTGTCTATGGCATAAAAAATTAAAGAAACTAAAGGATCTGCCTCTGAAAGCACTCCAGCACCTTTTCATGATGATGACTATCATCTTTAAGGAGAGAGAATCATTGACTATTTCTTAGATTCAAAACATATTTAAAAATCTTACCTTTACCTACGTGGTACTGTAGAAAAGTATTGAGTCACAACTCATTTCTTTATATATCATGCTAAGGAAATGGTGAAATAGGTGTAGAGATTTACTGAATCGTGTGCAAACGAACACAGAAATACAGCATTTAAGGCAAAAACAGAGTTTGTACAGTTCTAATGAGCTTGAAAGCCAATCTTTGGTATGACCACCTTTATAAAGCAACTCAGCATGAACTCTCTTGGGAAAACCTTTCGTTTCATTAACTAGTATTCAGGAATAATTCTCTAGGCTTCGTCAAGGGCATTCAAAGCTCTTCTGTGGATTTTCTTTTCTTTTAGTTTTGTCCTCTGTCAAGAGGACCCCACAGTGCTTCAGGAATATTAAGGGCCAGGCTTTGTACATATATTTGGACCAAAAGTTAAAAATTTGGATTCATTGCTCCATCACACCAATTGTAGGTCCAGTTCTTTTGTACCTGTTTGCCTCATTAAGAATAGCTTCTTCACAGACACCCTTCCACTGGAAGCAGTTTTGGTAATGTTTCAGTGAACAGTAGCCTGATTATACATCTCTCAGGCCTACTGGATTTTGTTCCTATTTCTTAAGGACACAACTTTAAGATATTGGTCAGTTTTTTTAGGCCCCCCACTTCTTGTTTCCTCAAAATTTTAAGAGCATTTAGCATAACATGCCAAAACATGCAGAGTTTTGACTAATAACTGTTTCAGAATGTGTTTTTATGGTGTTGCAAAATTTCTGCTTTATGACAGTTAGACAGTCTTATCTTTGTAGTCTGTTATGCCTGAAGAATTCATAGGTCAGTGCTAAGTGGCTTAACAAACAAAAACCATTCTTCTGGAAGTGTTCAAGTACAAAGACTGGACTCAAAATGAATGAAAAAGCAGCCAATGTCCAAAGAAAAACTTTGAAAGAACTTTAGAAAGCCTGGAGAACAATTCCTCAATCTCCTGTTGACCACTTTAAAAACTTACAAAAAAGTCTGGCTCCTTGGAAACAAAAGAAATTAGGGATGAGTATGAGTACTATAAACAACAGCAAACTACAATCAAAACAACACAAAACAGTTTGAGTAAATATAGAATAAAAATGCATTTCTTAATGTTTCTCCGTGACAGAACCGAGAACTCATGGGAATCTATTTCCTAAATATTGTCT